GCCATGCAGTTCTGCTTCTTATAAGCGCAGTTTTAGATGAGAGTTCCCTCATGAGCGAGCGCGGTGTGTGCGTGCGTGCGTGTGTGTGTGCGTGCGTGTGTGTGTGCGTGTGTGTGTATGTGTGTATAAGCGTGCGCGTGTGCGTGACTGTGCGTGTCGTGCGTGTGTGTGTGTGTGTGTGTGTGTGTGTGTGCTGTGTTTGTGTGTGTGTTGTGTGTTGTGTGTGTGTGTGTGTGTGTGCGTGTATGCGGGCGTGTGTGTGTGTGCATGCGGCGTGTGCGCGTGCGTGTGATATGGCATGTTAGAAATTGACAGATACTTTGCGACGTTTTTCTGTTGCTTTACTTCTATCTGTTGTCACAATGTTCCTTTGGTCATTCGTTGACGCTTGCATCATATGACGTGCATGTGCGCGTGTGCGGTCTGTATGTGGTCGTTCGCTACACTACGATTGTATGATTGCACGCTTCACCAACGTAAGCGACCTGATGCGATGAGAATGACGAGCAGCAAAATGTCGCACTAGTGTTGTGTAGTGACCGTCTTATATTGTTAGTATCCCCCGATTACACGATACCAAACCCCACAGACATTGTAGCTTACAATACCTGTCAAGTCTGCAGCTGTTATCGGATGGAACCCTGTCGTTTTCGTTCCTTCTCATTCTTATAAAAAAATGTTTGTACTCGTCGCTATGAAACACGCACATATAATATACTCTGGCGACGATCCAGTTCCCCCTCCTCTTCCATTTAACCCAAACACCGTCAAAAAACACGTCATGCCCTCGGTGTGTACCAGGCGGGATCCAGGAGCCACGCGTACACGATTGTTTATGCTCAGTGCTGAATTAAAACGTGAGAGGTTTTTAAAGTCATGAAAATAGAGCATCCCGCTTGTTCCCCCTACCTGGGTCGCAAACGCTGTGGACTGTACATGTACCTCTGGTGGAGATTTGATCGCGAGCATTTTCGAAGACTCGTGTGGTCTATGCCACATTAGTAGTGACCTTGATCTCGGTGCGCTTGACCTTGGCAGCTGCGACTTACGCAAGCGCAAGCAGTCGCGGGGGCGTGATGAAGAAATAGATGTTGGGCCACGAACGTAAACAAATATTGATTCGTACGTGGTCATAGACACATGCAGACGAGCGGTAATTGATCGCAACGTCTTCTCCTGTCCTATTTCTATCCTGGTTTCCTGCGTCCTCGCTCAACGCGTTCGCCCGGTCCCGTGTCCTCTCCTCTCTCTCTGCTCTACGCGTCGGTTCGGAAAATTATAGGAAAGACCTATACTTGCTCTGACGATCGAATCTGCGCCGCGTGTGGCTGTCTAACGGATACGGGTACGTGTTTCCAATCATAAGGTACGTCTGTCTCAAACTTTAGAATCTTCACATGGCAACGCAGGTAGTGGAAAGAAGCTGACCGTCAAAACCGCGGCGTGCGTCTGTGTGCGCACGCGGCTAAGCGCGAGTTTAGAACGATGAACCCGAATCTGATCCTTTACCCTGACGCGAGCCTTACCCGGAACCCGCAGTGATCCCCCACGTTAACCCTGCTAGCATTAGCTATGAGGGCACACGTTAACCCTGCTAGCATTAGCTATGAGGGAACACGTTAACCCTGCTTAGTGCTAGCATCAGCAGGGTTTATGAGAGCACACGGTAACACTGCCAGCATCAGCAGGGTCTATGAGGGCAGACGTTAACACTGCTAGCATCAGCAGGGTCTATGAGGGCACACGTTAACACTGCTAGCATCAGCAGGGTCTATGAGAAGGGGCCACAAGCGGGTTAAGCGGGCCCTGCTTAGGCTAGTCATCAGCGAGGGTCTGATGAGAAGCACGACGGTAACAACACTGCCAGCATTCGAGCAGGAAGTCTAATTGAGGTGAGCAGACGTTAACACTGGGCTAGCATCACGAGGTCTATGGAGGGCAACCGTACAACTGCTGACCCATTCACAGGTCTGATGGGGCGGCACATGTTAACACTGCCAGTCATCACAGCGGTCTATGGAGCGTATCGATGTAACACCTGCTCCAGCGATCAGCAGGTCTATGAGGCACGACGTTAACACTGGCTTAGCATCCAGCAGGCGTTCATGAGGCACACGTTAAGCGGCCCTGCTAGCGTCAGCAGGTCTATGAGGGCACACGTGTAACCCTAGCTAGCGTCAGCAGGGTCTATGAGGGTACATGTTAAACCCTGCTAAGCATCAGCAGGGGCCTGATGAGGACACATAGTTAAGAAGAAACCGCCTGCCCCGGGCCCAAAAAAAGCCCCATCACCCTCATTCACGCACGGGTCCTACTGAGGTCCCCTAAGTTAAATCACCCTCTTAAAGCAATCACAGTGTATGAAGAAACCCGAGTTAACTGGCCCTAAGGCTCAAACCAACACTGAAGGGCACACACGCAAACCGGCTACGCAGTCCCACCAAAGTCTATTTGAGTGAGCAATTATACCCTCCCCCCATCCAAACAGCTCCTCCAACTAATCAAACACATTCAAAACCTGTACCACCATCATTACCAAACGCCGCGTCCTACAAACATCAAACACTAATGCTAACCTCCGTAGACATCACATCTAAACAACAGAATATAACACTCCTCAGCTATCAGCCAGGGTCTAATTGAAGCACACGTTAACAACCCCTGCCCACATAATCAAGGTCAATGACGGGCACATTTAACGACGTCGGGCTAAATCAAGGGGGGCACACTCCCACGGTTCTCTGGGGGAGCACAT